ACACACACACACACACACACACACACACACACACACACACACACACAGCTGATCTCCAACATGCTTGTTACAGCTGATGAATCTCAAACATACCCTTTACAATCCAATCAGTGTCAGAGCTCCTGGGTGCGATAACGTTTTAATCAGCGAGAGCAGAGTCTGATTACCTCACAGTGACCCGCCGAGAAGACCTCTGCTGTAATTACATCACGAGTCAATTACATGACCTCCCGTCCGCTCATCAACGCACGGCGAGTTAGAAACCCACAGTGGCTGTTCATGCTGCATGTCCTCCATCACTCACGGGGGCATTTAATTAATCTCCGAGCGAAACAAACTCTTTCAAATTTCACCGCTCAAGGTTTTTTTTTCGTCTTTTCCCTACCTGAGTCTCTGGAGATCTGGACGAAGGCCTCGACGCCGCTCTCGCCGTAGTTCCCCTCGGAGGCGAGCGTCGACACGTAGTTCCAGCCCATCGCTGTGACGATGTCCAGCATGGCCTGGGCCTGGTAGGAGTCCGGAGGAACCACACGGGAGAAGAAGTCGTAGCGGGTGTTGTCGCTGAGCTCCGGGGCCGTCGAGGCGTAGCTGATCTGAGGGATCTGCGGAGAGACGAGCGAAAGGTCAACCGTTAGCTTCAGAAGGCGGGAAACAGCAGCCATGCTAGACATACGTTAAGACATTTTAATATCAGTCTGATCCAAGGAACTTTTAAACAGCATCTGAACACATTACACCCATCAGATTGTATCAAATTAACATAAAAATACAATGAATTATTACTTAGAAAACAGCAGTCTCAATAAATTCGTCGCTTCGCTTCACCTTTTTTTTTTTTAATCTCTGTAAAGCTGCAGCCAATGAAACTAAAATCTTCCTGCAGGTGTTTCACTATAAAAGGCATTGGGCGAAGGCAGGGTAGCACGTGCAAACTCCACACAGAAGGACCACCCGGGATCGGGGATCGAACCCGGGACAGTGCTAGCCACTACACCACCGTGCATTTGAGGCTTTTGAGAGTACATTCGGCGGAGGGTCACGGCGGCGTCCATAGCTAGCTAGTAATTGATATATAAATAGTAATTTTAATGGTGAAGTGTTCCTTTAATGTAAAAATACTTGATTGAAATAGGAGAATGAACTATTCCTCATCTCATTGTTTAACAGAACGACTACAACGATCATCATGATTCAGTTACAAGAAGATATTGTAGGAAAACAAATGAAATGTGTGTTTCTCACGAAGCAAAAAATAATGTACAAATATTAAAGTCACGGCGTGTTTTGCGGCGGCACCATAAAAGTCTCGCCTTACTGCAATACCTTATAAAACTGTATTTAACAAACTACATTATATTACATGTTGAATATTAAATATGTCTTGTTGAATATGTGACGCCACCAAAGAAGTCCTAATATGTGATAAAATGACACAAACCTGTGAAATTTACTGTATAAATAAGGTTTCAGTTGGATTTTAGAATGTTAAAACACAAGAAAACTCAATTTTTAAACAATTACAATGTCTTTATTTCACCATCAAGCCTTGGTCAAACAGATCTTTATAGTGGGATCTTCCACTTGGACATCCTGCAGCGCATTTGTTGAGATTTGAACCTGAAGCGCTGACCTTCCTCTGGCTGTTGTTCAGTTCCTCGTCAGGGTCGAGTTAGCGAGCTCTGCTGTTCTGAATTATGGAGGCGGATCAGGTCGTAGATCCTGCAGCAGACAGGCCCCGGCGGGGCTGCATAATGGTCCTTTAGAGAAGGATTGAAGTTGCCGATTGATTTCACTTCAGGCGGAGGCCGAGCGCCGCCCGGACGCCTCATCAGGATTCACGGAGGAGGGAGGAAGACGGACGGCCGAGGGCCTGACAGCAATACAAATGTCAGCGGGCTCGACTCGCACGGCGAACAGGCGGCAAATTAAAAAAGGCCTCTACTGTAAATAGAAACCTGTCTGAGAGGCGACGCTATCAGAGCGCTGCAGGTTGATCCATCAGACAGGAAGTTTATTTAACAACACAAAGAACACGTCTGAGCTGCCGATGCTCCACCGGGTTCTGGAGACCTCAGGTGTTTCCTGTTTGTCTGACGGCTGCGTTACAGATTGCCAGACGGACACATACAAGCGTTGTCTGATCGGACACCTCGAGAAGCTGCAGGAAGGAGCCCGAAAACCCAGAAATGAGTCCGCATCTTTTGGTTTTTACGGTTCCCTCGTCAATAGATATTTTCTGAATGTGTTTTCGGTCAGATGCCTGAAATAAGGTCCCAGTTAACAACAAGCGGAAGAGATTCAAACGTTACTTTCTTCAGTTAATACCGCTGTGGTGACTTGCTTTTTAAATGGCGGCTGCTAACAAGTGTCTAAATTAGACGACTAAACTTCACTTTAAGATCATTTATTTTTGTCATGTAATTTATTGGATGAGGAGATTGGAACTAATGCAGATGTAGAGTAAAAAACAAAAAGAAACACTGATCAACACGTATCATTTTCAAATCTGAACTAACTCGTGCAAAAAGAAAATGTGGAAAGAGAACCTAAACCTGCAAAACACTTACTTATCACTTACTTAATTTATGGATGTACAATGTCTAAAATACAACAAATCAATGAAATGAAGTACTAAGGATTCGCTCTTTTAAACACATTTTTCATTTATTTACGACAAAAAGAGCAGACGTACAGTACATCAGGATGTGTATTGTATTTATTTCTTTGATTTGCTTTCGTTTTTTACCAAACTGCCTCCTGAAAACCTCCGTTGTTTCTCCTGACCGTGTCAGCAGCAAACATGAAGTCAAACATCTTATGTGGAGACAGATTGTGTGACAGCAGCGACGGATTACATCAGAAATCATTGAGATTCATGGAGGTGACGCCGAGATGAACTCTGGTATTTCTCACACACACACACACACACACACACACACACACACACACACACACAAGGCTAAAAGAACTGCAGCTGCATGAGAATATAATGGGGATCACCATTAGCATTAATGATGCATTGGGGGCTGAATGAACAGCAGCATCCATTAAAGCACATCAGCTCGTCTAATATATGTGTTTAATGTAACCTGCCTGTGATTTAAAAACAGCATTATGACCGAAGCTTTGTGAGAAGATTGACGTCATCAAATTATGGCAGGAATAATAAAAATGAATGGCAACTGTGACGGCTTTAGTCATACATGTGTTCCTCGTGTTATTGAACAAATTGAAATCTAACATCCTGCTACGACTGGAGGACTGCAATTTTAATTAGCTGCCTAATTAGACAGTCGGAAAATAAGCACGTCGCACGCTCACGTCTCCATCAGCGGTGCTATCAGCAGCTGACAAACAATCAATGCGAAGCAACGAAGAGGGTCTTTTACTTCCATGGCTCCACAGAGGGCTTTTACTTTGGAGGGGAAAAAAAACAAACATGTGAGCACATCAGAAGCTCTGTTCTTCAGTTTGGAGCCACTTTTGAGAAAATGCACTCCTTGTATTTATTTCAGGGTTTGGTTTTAATCTCGTCAAGATTGAAAACATAAACCAAATATTCTCAAAGTTTCCAGAGATATCCAGTTTATGAAGATGGATTTTGGGGGGGAATGTGTTTAACATGAGGCGAACCTGCAGATATAACAAATTCATTAACCTCTTTCGGAAGAAGGAACAGGGAGAAGTCTGTTTTCTTTCTCAGCCTTCTAAAAACAGTCTTTTCATCACTTAAAAACACAGAAGCAGATCTGTGTTGAAAGTATGACCTCACAAGTGCCTTTCTTTTTTCAGTTTTTGGTCGTGAGGACATAATTATTTTCATTGAAATGGAGGAGAGTTTTCTAAAATATGCGCATACATATAGACGAGGCGTAAGTGGGTTGCCAGACACCTATTTTATTGCACAAAATCTGAGCGAAAACGACCAAAAGACTCACACCTGCACAAATCGATCAGGTTCAAGTTAACATCCATGTCTGTAAGTCATCACTTCATCATTTCATTCTGTTTGACATTCATATGACATTATTAGGATATGAAATCTTGAGTGAGGTCCTAATGACTTTTGCCCAATTTGACCAAAATCGAATCAGTTCATCCAAGAGACTGTAGATAAGAAGTGGACGCAGTCGTCGTGAAGTCACTCATCGGTTTATGGACTACTGATCTGAAGCCTTGAGTTCGGCGTTCTGGCCGTCGCCATCTTGGTCAGTCATCGGAAGTGACCATATCTGGACTGTGGAGAAGAGACTTAGACGCCGCATACGGCTCTGTTAGCGACTTGTCACTCACTGTGTAGCCCCGCCCCTAAAGCATCCCCTGCTTTATGGTCTGTTTGACTCTAAATGGACCATAATGTACTAAATGAACATCATGCTGTATTGAAGAAGACTTGAAACTAGAGATTGAGACCATAAACTCATGTTTACAATGTTTACTGAGGTAATAAATCAAGAGAGAAGTAGAGTCACTTTCTCATAGACTTCTATACAACCAGAGGAGTCGCCCCCTGGTGGATTAAAGACAAATTAGATGTAAAGATGGAGATGTTTTGCAGTGTGGAGGTTTCTGAAGAGTAAAAGCTCTTCTCAATCAGAGGACACGAGATGGACGGCGTCCTGATGACAGCGCTCATTACCCTTAACACGGGACCTTTACTTCAGCCTGCTGAGCCCCGGTGAGGCCGGATGGGATCCTCGGTCTCACACCGAGGACAGACATCTGTGTGTTTTACATCAGAGGACATGAACCCCGTTTCTTCTGCCGTCTCAGGGTGTTTTCCTGCGACAGTGATTGATGCTTGTCATTCCTCGCGACAGCCTCGAGCTTTCTGCCCGGCTGAGCAACGACAGAAGAAATCCATCTGAGGTGACAGCTCACGTCCGTCATCGCTCGCTCTGCGCTCTGATTGTCTTATGTAAAGTAAAGCTCAGTTTACTGTCATCTGTCTCTTTCCTGGACAATAAACAGCTTCGCCCTCCAGGTAAAATCATATAAGACTCCTGCTGTCGCTTCTCCGTTTCCCTCTCAGGATGAAGTCAGAATGACTCGAAGAGGAAACAACTCAACAACCAGGCAACTCAGGTTTCAAATACATCTTTCAATACCTCAAATTAAAGAAGCGGGACAAAATTTATGATTTTTGGGTCGTCTAATCTCTGAATATTTCTCTATAAAGGAGTCGATTCTGCATCCTGTCGTCTCCAAGTGGATATACAGTATTTTATAACATTCACCATGTAAAACTACATTTTTCACACAGGATCACTCTACAAGCATGAATTTATTATCATTTCATCTCTATGTTTTCTAAAATCAAGTCTCATTTTTCTTAATTAACAACAGCAATGTGCATTATTTTGCCTTATTTCTAGCCAATTTTTTGGAAAATTCTTGAAAGAAGTTGGTTTGAAATGGATTGAAATATTTCACACCGACAGCCAGATTTTTCCACTTGTTAAAAAACGTAGTGACTTTTGGGCTTTTGGTCCATTTAGAGTCAAACAGACCATAAAGCAGGGGATGCTCTAGGGCGGGGCTACACAGTGATTGACAGGTCTCTACCAGAGTCGTATACGGCGTCTCTAGTCCAAACATGGTG